TAAATTCAAATAAAAAGTAAAAAAAAACTAGGAAAAAAACAAAAAAAATAAGAACATAACTTCTGTAACAAATATATGTTATGCAGAAACATGATATAAATAACTTTTGTCCGGGAGTCATCCCTGAATTCCCAATCAAACTCAAGTAAGAAATTAAAAACTAAAAAAATGGTAATATTATCAAAATAATTTAAAAACTATTTTAAAATAGTTTTTTTTTTAATTATTATTTTGAAGTTTTCTTTAAGGTTTTTTATTTTTAAATCGAGATTGGTTGGGAATTCGGGTATGAATCCCAGACAAAAGTTGTTTGTATCATAATTTTGCACAACATAATGTTTTTTTAGAGTTTGTGGATTTTATTTCTTTTTTTTTTTACGTACGTGTACGCGGGCTCGTACGTGTACGTTGGAATACGTACGCGTACGCGTACGGCGTGCTACCCAGTTTGATTGATTGATTGATTGATTGTGTCGATCTCAATGTGGATTTTGATATGTCACGTAAGAGACACACATGAGAGATGGTTGAACCCCTCATGAGTCGATGGAAGTTCGACAAAACAAGTTGGCAAGAATGGATAAATCCAACAGGTGATTGTTGCACGTTGCGGTTGGGATAGATACACGTTGCAATCCGTAGGGAGAGAAATATAGAACGTAAACAAGCACAACAAGATGACAACTCAGACACTTGTTTGTTTCTAGCACAAGTCGAAGCTAGGTAATGTGGCCCCAATCTCTTTCGAGTTGTGTGTGAAGAGCTTCGGGGATCATCGTTCCTTATGCAATACAATGCTATAATTATTCTAAAAAAAAAAGGAAGAACAAACTTTTGACTGTCAACTTTAAGGTTGGTATAAAGTATGGCATATATGCAGGTATTGCGCTGGAACAATTACAATTCTTAGATAATAATCAGGCTCGTGTGGCTGAATAGTACACACGTGCAACTGTTAAGAACCAGATCATGTCATTGAGTTTGAATCCGTATCACATCAGATGACTATAATATTTCTTACTTACTAACCCTAGTGGCATGTAAGCAACATTGTGCATCGACGTTGTCGGTCGGGACATCCGTTGGCCCATGCACAAGGATGACATGCACAAATCGAGAAATGTTTCCCTTGCCTCTCTCCCACCCCCCCCCCCCCCCCCCCCCCCCCCCCCCCCCCAAAAAAAAAAAGGCGCTCGCAATCGTTATGTATGTTCGTTGGCGTGTCATAACGAAGTCGTACATTTGGAAGTGGCACAGAAATGCAATGAATTAAAGGGAGAAGGAAGTAGAGAATGTCCAGCCGAGGGAATTATTATACAGAGTAAAGAAAAGGAAGGTAATTGATTCGTTTGTGGAAAAAAAAAAATGAAGAAAGGGACATGAACAACGAGCTCACATTTGCAATCACAAAGACTAATAAGGCAGTCGGGAATGCACCTGAAGGTAAAGTGCCGAAAGGCATGATCAAACCCTCAACGTGCAAAATACTGATATGCGTTCGGACGGGGTTCAAGACGCAAGCGGGCCATTTGTGGGTCTTCATTGAAAAAGAATACCTTCGAATGGGGGCTTAAAAGAGAAGGTAAAGACGGATTGAGGCCCTACCGGTAGTCGTCCTTTCACTTTCAGGCGAAGTACATAACAAAAGTATCCCTATTATAATCCAGAAGCACGAAATTTAACCCTCGACCAAAAATCATTGACGCCTCTACACGTTCAAGTACATATTGTATTATCCATTTGCAAAGTTAAGCAGATGAGAATGTTCCTTTTTTTTTTTTTTTTTTTTTTTTTCAATTATCGATTTGGGTATTTGAGAACCCAGTTGCATTCGGATGAGTCATGCATTTAAAACATCCGGAGGGTCCTTTTTGTAGTTTTTGTCAGTAGGTGTGGTTTATAAATCATGATTCAATCCCGAAGGAAGCTTGCAACTGGGTTCTCAAATACCCAAATCTTCTCCCATCATGTATGGAGGCGCACATAATCCCTTGCCGCCAAACCCAAGTGCGTTCAAATGGGTCATGCATTTGAAACGTTGAGAGAGTTGGTTCTTCTTTGTAGTTTTCTCAATATGTGTTGTCTTTGAATCATTCAATTTGGTAGGCTGACATTCAGGGGAAGCTTGCAACGTGTCATAGGGCCTTGCTCCACTACTCACAACATGCACAAAAGATAAAAATATGGCAGTTTATCTTCCGAGTCCCCCGTTCTACTGAAAGATTCGTTTTCGTTCTACACATTTTGTGAGTGGTGGAGCGAGGTCCACAGTCTTCTCGCATCATGTCTGGAGGTGCACAACTAACCAAATGTGCAAATAAGAACGAATCATCCGATAGGATATGGAAAAACACACCGCCATATTTTGTGTTTTTTTTGCATGTGGAGACTCGTGGAGCGAGGCCCCATAATTGGAGGTGCATGTAAACCCTTGCCATTGGAGGGGGTAGCGGAAAAGGGAAAATGGCATAAATAGCCCGCTTAGTTTTGAGAATGGCAGTTGTAGCCACTTAGTGGAATGCACTTGGACGTGCACATGCAAACGTGGTCAAGAGCATTTTTTTCCTCTCGATTTATGCGTCTCGTCCTTGCGCAAGGACCATGGTAATCTTCTCTGTATCATTCCAATTTTAACAGATGTCCCAAGGGACCAAGGGCAAATTTACCATCAGATGTTCATGTGCTTTGGTTTTGTTCTCTTTCCAAACATAAAAGCGTTAATTCTTTTTTATTTTTTATCTTTCCTAAGCCTCAGAATTTCAATTACTAACGGTCTCAATGCCAAGGCTATAATACGTCAATCAAATCCAATCAATGCTCCCAACTCGTTCATTCGGGTAGACTGTGAAGACCCCGACCTCCCTTTTGTTACTGATAATGAAATGTCTTGTTTGTTTGAAAGGGGAAAAAAAAAGTATCAATCAAGTGAGACCTCAACCCTAAAACGGGATATTTCGTCTTGCAATAAAGAAAAAAGTGAGACAATCCGTGACAATATGATTGTTTGTACCAGGGTTTGAACCCAGGACTCACCAATTGTTGTAAGGCTAAGAGCCGTCGACATTACTTATATTGATTTGTACCCCCTGTTTGTAGACTCTGGATGCCCCAGTTTAACCCAACTCGTAGTGATCTTTTATCACAGGCCTCTCTTATCATGGTAATGTTGCCAATGATCATCGAACATTATATATATATATATATATGCTCTTTATAAAGGGAAAAGCAGGTCTCGCGTCATGCTCCTGCGAGCCCAGGTTCCCTGTGTTGGGAAAATGGGCGGGGACAAGGTGCGTGCCCAAGGGACCATCAGGTCTCGCGTGAGGCTCCCGCGAGCCCGGGCTCCTTGTGTTGGAAAAACGGCCGGGGACAAGGCGCAGGCACAAGGGAAACCCGCAGAAATTGCAGGGTTATTATTATTATTATTATTATTATTTTTTTTTTTTATAAAGCCCAGGTTGTTATAGAGGTCGGGTATCGACCTAGGTGGGTACTGTCTTAGGAGCGCTGGAGTGGAGACTTCCTAATAGGCAATCAACCCAGTATTATTCCTGGCAACCGAATCGGAAGTTCTCGTGGGGAGGTATGGCCTGAGTTGGTGGTATTCCACTGGCGCCAATCACAGACCGCACGCTGGCCAGGTGTGGCCTCATGGCTCCCACCTATTCTGATATTGGACGGATCACCTTCCCAGTACTATTCCAGCTCAACCAGCTAGTGGGTACCTTGACGCGTTTTGGCAGGACCACCTTCTACCCTACCTCACTTCAATTCTCCTAACACCCCCCCTATACCTACTATCCTACCTCAGTGGTACAAGCACTCAGGAGAATCACCCTACCCCTCAAACGGCGACGTAGACCGAACAGTAGTTATAGGTACCTAGACTGGACAACTACCCCACCCAGCCCCAGTGGAAGCCTGAACGAGCAAACCTTGTTACTCAAGGACTTCAGACGTCAGGCACTATCAATATCACTATCAGTCCATACCGACGAACTGAATCGCGGCCAAGTATTTGCACAGACCAGAGCAGACTCCCCGTAGCCTGGATCTGAACCCCATGACGAACGAACCCATGACAGAGATCGGTCTCCCCCACCTAACTCTATTGATACGTCAGTGTTTGTGTCGTAACAGATGTGCATGTGTGTAAGCAGTGTATCAGTGACCGTAGGCTGTGCAATTTGCCCATAGGCCACGGGTGTACGCCCTAAGCCGGTGTATAGGTGCGCCCATAGGCAGTGTAAGTACCGAGAACCATGTGACACTGTGAGTATGTGTGTATAACAGCTATGCCAGACTCGAACCTATAACCTGTAGTATGTAACTAGGATAACCTACCATGTATGACGGATGACGGGGGAGATCATCAGAGCAACCAGTAGCCAATGTCCTCAAGTAAACCTGCCTAGGTAGAATCCTACGGATAACAACCCGGATTAACCCTTGGGTGGTACGCAGGCAGTGTCTGAAATAGCTTGCCTGCATCAGCCCAAGGGGCTGTGTCCAGCCGTGCGTCATTCTAAAGCCCTGCCGGTGTCCATGCGCGAGGCTGCAATTGAGTTTTGAACCCGCAACCTCATACCACAATGCGCATTTCCAACCGGTGGTCTAACCACTGAGCTACATCAACTGGACATTGCAGGGTCTTTCTCGCGTGACGCTCCCATGAGCCGGGGCTCCCTGTGTTGGGAAAATGGCCGGGGACAAGGCGAGGGTCCAAGGGAACAGCGGGGGTCTCGCGTGAGGCTACTGCGAGCCCGGGCTCCCTGTGTCGGGAAAATGGCCGGGGACAAGGCGCGGGCCCAAGCGAAACCCGTAGAACTTGAAATTGCAGGGTCTTTTTTCTTCCGACCGCGCGAGTTCCACGTCTGGCGCGCCGTGGTTGAGGCGCTGTTTGTTCTTGTCGTGTGCGCGCGGGAGTTGAAGGCCTGCCAAGGAAAAAAAACAGAGGTGGTCAAAGGTGACCCCGACCAATTCGCGGCTGTGACGGGCGGCGCAAAGTTCATAGAAGAGAAGCAGGACTAACGGGCGGCCTTGGGAAGTTGGTGGAGGGAGCGGCCCTGTGTAATGTGCACACGTGTGAATCGAGACGGACAGGAATCGCTATTCGCACGTGTGCTATCGCAGCGAGCCGTGGCTGGAAGCTGCCATCGCCGACCGAGAAGGGAAGGCGACTTGCAGGAGAGGGGAAGGAGGCAGGCTGCCATATTCGGAGGTGTGCTATCGAAGCCGCCATAGCCCACCGAGAAGAGAAGACGACTTGAAGGGAAGGAAAAGGGAAAAGGAGGCAGGCTACCGTGGAAGCTTGAGGATAAATGAAACATGAACTTCAACGAAAATGTTCCTGCTGGCAATGCAGCTTCTAAAGTACTTCTTGGGGGGTGAGGAGTCTCTACCAAAGAGCACGTGTCCCCTGCGTTCTGCGCCGACATGCGTTTTGTCCTTTTTTCCTCATGTGTCGGTGAAAATCCAACCAACCACGCTGCATCTCTTCCTACCCCACATCCTGCCAATGTCATCCTCCCTTTCCTCTTTCCGCTCCTCCCGCCTCTTGCTACCCAGACCCCCAATCTGCTGCTCCTCCTGTTCGTCGGCCTCCTCTTGCAGCTCCACGTTCTCCCCCTTCCCCCTTCCCGCTCCCCTCCCCCCCTCCTCTCTCTCTCTCTCTCTCTCTCTCTCTCCCCCCCGGCGAGGCTGAGCTCCTCATCTTTTGTTCTTCTTCTTCTTCCCTCTCCTTGTCTTCCTCCTCCTCCTCCTCCTTGTGCTCCTCCCCCCCCCTTTCCTCTTCGTTCTCGTCCTCCTCACCCCTCCGATGTCTAATTTTTACTTATTTGTTGTCAGAAAATGAGAAATCGTAGACGTCATGTTTGATATCAGAAAAATGGGAGGTTGTAGAAGTATGTGGTTCGATCTCTTTTTTCCCTTTACTTTCCCATTATTTCGACCATCTGTCGATTTATGCATGTCATCTTTGCGCAGGGGCCATGCTAATCCTCTTTCTATCATTCCAACTTTAAGAAATATCGCATCCCGACTCCTGCTCCTGCTCCTCTTCCTCTTCCTCCTCCTCCTCCTCCTCCGCTTCCTCCACCTCCTCCTCCGCTTTCTCTGCTTCCTCCGCGTGTCCTTCGCTTCCTCACCGCCTCCTCCTCCTCAGCGCCCTCATGTTCGATCTCTGTTTTTTCCCCTTAATTTCGACCATCTCTCGATTTTTCTGTGTCGTCCTTTCGCAGGGGCGATGCTAATATTTTTTCTACCATTCCAGGTTCAAGGGATATCTCATCCCGCCTCCTCCTCGTCTTCCTCTTCTTCCTCTTCTTCCTCCTCCACTTCCTCCGTCTCCTCCTCTTTCTCCGCTTCCTCCGCATCCTCGGCTTCCTCACCTCGTCCTCCTCCCGCGCTCTCCTCCTCTTCCAGGTTCTCCTCCCTCTCCCACTCCTCCCCCCTCTCCCACTCCTCCCGCTCCCGCTCCACCCGCTCCCGCTCCGGCTCCCGCTCACGCTCCCGCTCCGGCTCCCGCTCCCGCTCCCGCTCCCGCTCTCTTCCTGCCACTCCCACTCCTACCCGTCCCGCTCTTTTTCCTCCCCCCACTTCTCCTCTACTCCTTGGTACGATCTCCTCTTCCCTCCCTCCTCCTCCTCTTCCTCTTCCTCTTCCAGTTCCTTCGCTTTATCCGGTTCCTCAACTCCTCCTCATTGTCCTCTTCCTCCCGCTCCCAATCCTCCGCTTCCTGGTCCTCCTGCCATTCCCGCTCCTCTCCTCACCTCCGTCTCCTCCTCATCCTCCCGGTCCTGCTTCTTCTTCCACTCCCGCTGCTCCTTGCTCCGGTCTCCTCTTGCCTCCATCCTCCTCTTCTCCTCTTCCCTCCTCCTCTCTTATGCCTAATCATCATCATCATCATCATTATCTTGACCGTCATTTTCCACCGTCCACGTCAAACTCCATCTCGTGTCTTTTTCAACCTCCTCCTCCACTGCCCCTCCCCTTCCTCCCCCGGGGGTCATTTTCCAACGTCACGCCCATTCACGTTTCGTCGAATGATCGGCCTTGGCTTTTGGGAGAGACGGCGCAGGTGAGAGAAAGTGGAGGAGGAGGAGGGGGGGAGAGGAGGAAGAGAAGCAGAAGGTCGAGGGAAGAGGAGGGAAAGGATGATGATGATGATGATGAGGAGGAGGAGGAGGAGGAGGAGGAAGAGGAGTGTAAGGTCGATGTTCAGTTACTATCGGGGCTTCATGCATTGTCAATCCCTGATTGTCCGTGAGATCCCGGCATGAGATCCCGACATGAGATCCCGACATGAAACCTCTTATTCTTTGCCTTTAATAAAAGGCGACGGCCTACAGATATTGCCTTTGAGCTGATCGGCCGCAAGTTAATTCAGAGTTATTTTGTGTCATCTGATTCCATTGGGAGGGTGGTACAGCTGAGCCTGGCCTTTTTTTTTTTTATTAAATCCCTCCCTGCCTTGCGTGAAAACCATTTTTTTTGCATTTGCCGAATCTGCTGGTCCTCTCTCTTGCTTACCTCCAATTATGATTTAAGAAATTCCTTTCCAAGAGCCTCGCTACTGTTTTTTTTTTTTTTTGGGCCAGCCCTCGTCTGCATCTGCATATTTGCTTGCTGCCCTCCCTGCCTGCCTGTCCTCACGCCCCCTCTTCTGTGCCGCAGCTTTGCTGCGGCGGGTCCACTTGTTAGCTACTAGCGTATAGGTATATTCCCTTTCTATATTACCCTGAAAGTCTGGGGTGGGCTAAGAGGGGGACGAGCGACTGTTTCCATAACAGCCTTCGCCGGTCGTGAAATTGCAAGTCCGTCTCGCCCAATGCGCTGTAATTAGGCGTCTGGTCGTTGGATTGGCGTCGTGGAGTGACCTACCTACGGTCTCTCAAGGCATGGTTTGCTGCTCTTTTTTTTATTTTATTTTTTATTTTTTATTTTATGAAACAGCCCGAACGGCTGCTAGGGGTGCTGATATGATCAGACACCACTAGCAGTTGCATTTTAAATGTACTTTACAGGGACGCTGGACCCGATTTCCAGCATGGTTTGCTGCTCTTATGGGAAGTCAGGTCGGAGATGTACCGCCGCCACTTGCTTGTGAAAATTCGTGTCAGCACACGAGAGCTCAAATCCTGCTCTTATGGGAAGTCAATGTGGCTGTACAGCGCACGAGTTCGAATCCTGAAGGAGTCAGATGAAAATAGGTGATAATGTTATAAGGGAAGGGATACCCCCTCTGCAAAAGAAAAGGGAATATTTCATCTGCACCCACTTTGAAGGTGGGAAGTGTTTGCCCGTGTAGCCTGGAAGAACGCCCATAGTCGCGTCTGTAATCGGGACCCATTCAACTTTCTCTTCGGACCTCCCTTTCCCCTGTGCCATTCTATGGTTGCCCCCGGTTCCAGACTTGAGGGTCTGGAACCGACAAACTTGTTGGCATACCCAACTACCGGTTATCGCAAATGGCGCTCATACTCGTTGACCCTTTCGCCACAATGGTTCTCTCTCTCTCTCTCTCTCTCTCTCTCTCTCTCTTCCTCCCTTGCCTGAGCGTGTGCAGACACGCACACAGGCTGGAACTGGGGTGAATGTCATGGCGTGGAAAGCAACTCCATCCCCCTTGCCCCTTCCAATTTGTCTCTATCTAAGAGCGAGCGAGAGAGAGAGAGAGAGAGAGAGAGAGAGAGAGAGAGAGAGAGAGAGAGAGAGAGAGAGAGAGAGAGAGAGAGAGAGAAATCTGGTCCCGGGTATGTCTATATTCATAATTCGTGGTAGTTGGGAATAACTGCGACTCGCAGGTACCAACCACGGACTGGGGTGGGCAAGCAAACAATTTCCACAGCATTTATGGGGTAAACATGCACGATGGGGCACTGGGACTCGGTATAAATGCAATTCCTATCGGTTCTCATGGTCATGGAACTCTCTCTTTCCCCCCCCCCCCCCCCCCCCACACACACACACAAAAAAAAAAAAAACAGCCCATGTGGACAAAGTCCCGAGTTTGAATTTTGATTGAATGAGATGGATACAAGAAAAAGTGCTTGTGGAAAAAATGAACCGACAGTCCCTGCAGGCAGAGAAAGACGCCTGTAGCCGTTGCCGTCGGATTGTCAATCCAATGGCTGAGTTGAAAAAGAGCACCCCTCCTCGTTCTGCTAACCTGAGGCGTGGTTCCTCTAGCGGATGGATAAAATGGATAGGATGGAAGTAACACTGTTAGACGCAATGTGGGGTAATTAGCGTTGCCTCTCCAAGGAGAAAGGGAGGCGTCCCCACGTGGCCCCACCAATCCAATTGGCTGAACCCATGGCAGGCATGGGACAATCCTTCGTCCCCAGTTTCTTCAGAGTAAGGGTCTCGTTAGACACTCTTTTGTCCCCCCGAGCGGCATTGAGCAGAGACTGCTACTGCTGATGTTCGTCGTAGGGGGGAGGGGGGACCGAATGGGAGGCACAGCTACTGGCCCATTGAAGAAGCTCGGTCCTGATGCTACCTGCTGGATTGCAGGCCGGTATTGCCCACCTGCGGGCCTACCATATTATTTTCTTGAGAGTAAAGGGTCTCGTTAGACAGTCCTTAGTCCCCCCGAGTGGCATTGAGCGGAGACCGCTGTTCTTGAGAGAGCTAAGGGTCTCGTTAGTCACACTCCTTAGTCCCCCCGAGTGGCATCGAGCGGAGACTGCTGATATTCGTAGAGGGGAGAGGGGACCGAAGGGAAGGCACAGCGACTGGCCCATCGAAGCAGCATCGGTCCTGATGCTGCTACTGGCTGACCCCTGGCTGGTATCGCCCACCTGCTGTAGCAGGAGTATCGCCCACCTGCTAGTGGGTGCAGCACCCACATGTCCCGTTGCTGGAGGCTTGAACACGGATGTGGCTGCTATGGGGTTCCCCGTAGTACTTTAATGACAATAAAAACGGCCTGATAGGCCATCCTGTTCAGGTTCGACAGGCAATTGAAGTGGCTGGGCCTAAAAGAATTAGCTGAGTTTCAAGGAGGACAAGCCCTTGCCGTTTCAAGGATTTTTGCGTTGCGTCCTAGTTCCACTCGTCCTTGAAAGTCTGTTGCAAGTCCGGATCCTCCTCGAGAAAGTTTGCATTTGAAAGAAGAAAGAAAGGTAAAGCGTAAAGCTGTGCTTCAGACTTTCATCCAATAGGCCACCACTACAATCAAATTTGGATGATGGTCTCTCCACTCCCTCGTGTCCGTCCTTGGAAATTTCAGAGAACCGGGCAAGGTTCTTTAAAAATCAGAACATTTTGGGCGTCGCCGCACGGGACACGAAAAGAAAAACGAAACGAGTGCATCTTCCTGCAGAAAATGGCCAGGTTCATCGGTTTGCTATAAATAGAAACGAGTGTATTTTGCCACCTTTCGTGGGCAGATGCACTCGTTTCGTTTTCGTTTCGTGTGCCGTGCGGCGAGACCCTTTGCCTGGGGAATGCTTGAAGCTCAAGAGCCAGTCCTTAGAGATCGTTTTCATATTTTTTTTTCGAGGATTCCGTCTCAAGATGGGAGGAAGGATGCCACTTTCTCGCAGACCGGGTTCTCAAGGAGTGTCTAACGTTACTCTTAAGGGCGTCGCGCACGGGACATGAAACGAGAAACGAAATGAGTGCATCTTCCTGCAGAAAATGGCCAGGTTCATCGGTTTGTTATAAATAGTAACGACTGTATTTTGCCACCTTTCGTGGCAGATGCACTCGTTTCGGTTTCGTTTCGTGTGCCATGCGGCGAGACCCTACATGGGATTGTAGGCGACAGAAAAAAAAAAAAAAGAAGCTAGACGGCCGTGGCGCTGAAGAAACGAACAGACTGACGTATAACTGACCAATGAACTTCGACCCTTCTGTTTTCGAACCGTGAAAATCCCATGCAATAGAGTCTAGGACGGATCCTGTACACTTTTTTGGAGCGAGGAATGTGGTTTGGGAAAAAAATTGTGGATCCCTCTCTCTTCCGGGATCAAGGATCAGGGTCACACTCGCGCCGAATTTTTGGTTGCTGTCCTTTGATCTTCAGAATCTATGGTCGAAATTGAAGAATCTGGGGAGATTTCAAGCATGTTGTTTTCTCTTTGGTGGTTCTGGATGGATTGCCTACATATCATCATGGCGTCTGCACACATAGCACATAGCAGGAGAGGAAACAGGGGAGGTGGATTTGGGAGAACTTGAGCACTGGGCCCCACGGCCTTCGACACTAGGGTAGTCTCACAATTTCGGGGTTGGTGGGTGGTGTCTGGCTTTCGATTTGTGACCCTATAAAATTGAAGTGGAGCAGCAGCCATAAAGCTGCAATCTTTTGGGGGAGGTGGGGAGGAATCCAAAGAAGGAAAAAAAAAAAGCATCTTGTGGGTCAAACGTTTTGTTCAAAAGAAAGCGGAAGTTATGTTGTCTGGAGGGCTACAACGGTCCTCTATAAACGAAGAAAGGTTTGACACCCCTATTGGTGGTGCCCCTCCGCAACTCTTTTCGAGTTGACGTCTCATGTAATGTGGACGGTGCAGCTTTTTCGGTGCTAAGCTAGTGAAATTGAGCGGTGGCTCTTGGGTGCAGTTATAACGCCTAAAACCTGACAGGGCATTTGCAAGGTGGGGGGGGGGGGGGGGGGGGTGTCGCCAGTCAGGGCGTTTGGAGCCAGTCCAGTGGGGCCGCAGGTATGCAGCCGTTGCCACACATGGTTTCACGAGGAGCGTTTAATGTTTAACCTTGGACGCTCATAGGTCAGTGAGGTATGGCTGGGGGGCCATGCAGCCTCGAGAGAGGACCCCTGTTTGGTTGTTTGCACTTTTTGTGCACATGTGTTTGACGAGGAGGACAGCATGTTATTTGGGTGCGAGAACACATTCGTGCAGCAAACAAGGAGGACGGCATGTTATTTGGGTGTGAGAACACATTCGTACCTTTGCTGCTGTGCAGGTGCGTATCGTAGCGAACACGGAAGCTCATCACAGTAGTGAGCTCAAACGTTGAACCTAGACCTTGTGTGTTCGCTACGATTCATGAGCTCGCTTACTACTGTGAGCTCAAACGTTGAACCTAGACCAGAGTAGACCAGAGTAGCACAGCCTGGATCATCGCTACACAAGCTCATCAGGGTATCGAGCGCAAACGTTGAACCTGGACCTTGTGTGTTCGCTACTACTGTGAGCTCAACTGCTGAACCTAGTCCTTCGTAGACCAGAGTAGCACAGCCTGGATCCACTTGCACGACCTGCTGTGGTGCATTGCCTGGTCAATCCCTTTGGTGGGATGGTTATGAATCGGTGTTCTATTCGATAGAGCCGGTGGAGGTGGTGGTATGTCATGTGTTGGTAGTCTCTAAACCTGTGAAGAGGCATGTGAACGGTTATGCTAGAGTGCCAGGAAGCCCCGTGCCTAGGCTGTGGTTTTATGATTTTGCCATAGGAAGTTCGACTCGCATTCAGCTACTAGTGTCTGGTAGGCCGCGGCTCTCACGTGCTGACTCACGGGATTTGAACCCACCCCCTCATCCTTGGGACCTATTTAACATAATACACAAACCTCACACCCAGTATACATCTGCTTGGACTGCCATGTTGGTATGGAGCGACTCTGATGTGGCGGCCCTGGAATTACAAACGCCTGCACGGCGAAGGGAGGGGAGGGATGAAAAGGGAAGATCGCGTAAACCACCAGTACGTTTCCCAGTGAAACAATAAAATATGTGGCTTCCATCACGAGTTTTGGGGCGCAGCCTCTGGAGCAAATGGCTGGCGGCACCAGGCAAAAGGAGGCCTGCACCGGTTTGTTTCTCTTATTTGGCATGCAGGCCGTTCCACCCAGCCCGGGAGAAAAGTGCCTCAGAAGTGGTGGTGTTGTTTAAAAGTGGGTTTAGTAAGGGGAAGGCGATCTTTGGCAGATTCAAGTGGAAATGTGTGGTGGTGAGAAGGGTTCAGAAGTTTTTGATGGAATGCCTTCGCATGGTGCCTTTTTTGGTCCACGGAAGTGATTTGTCAGAATGCTCGTCGTGGGCGGGTATGTGATTTATACCAGGATGAAGCTGTTCCTGTGGAATCTTCTTTTTTTTTTTTTTTTTACAAATTCCTGTGGATTCTCACTGAGGCATTGAAGCCTGTTTGGTCAAGCAGATAAGCATGTGTGAAACTGACCCTGAAAAGGGGAAAAGAAAAAGGTCTTTAGTGACAGCAATCGATATGAAGTGGTGAAGAGTAGTGGCTTTTTTTTGTTGGGTTAGAGAAAGAGAGCACTTTGATTGGTATTCCCGTTTACAGCATGTGCCCGTGTCTGGGAAGCTTTTGTGGATGAAACCTGTTTTTTTAACTTTTTTTTGGTTTTCCGGTTTTAACTTTTAAGGTATGCACGGCTTATGTAATGGGGAAGTAAAAGTTGTCTGATTTTCTCATTAAGGTTTGTCCCTTTTTTTTTTTTTTTTTTTTTTTTTTTTTGTCGGTCCTGACTCTTTTTTTTATACACATCTAGATGTGTATAAGAGACAGCTCTCTCTCTCTCTCTCACACACACACACACACACACACACACACACATCAGTCGAGACGGACGCATATGAAGTGCGAGGAACAGTTGTGTGTGTNTTTTTTTTTTTTTTTTTTTTTTTTTTTTTTTTTTTTTTTTTTTTTTTTTTTTTTTTTTTTTTTTTTTTTTTTTTTTTTTTTTTTTTTTTCGGTCGGTCCTGACTATGTTATGTCGGGAACATTTTGATTAGTCGGAAATGCAGCACAGTATGGGAACATTGTGATTAGTCAAGCTGCACTGTCGGGATATGCAGCACAGTAGCGTGTTCTGGAGGGGTGGCTTCACTGTGAGCCTTTTTAGCTGCTTTTTTTTTCATCATGTTACTTATCTCCTCTCCCTCCCCCCTTGCTCGCCTGCTCTTAAGCCACCGCTACCTCCCAGGCTGTTTTTTGCCGAACCTGAACTTCACTGCGCGCCGAGTTTTGCCGAGCGTGGGTCCCAGAAATATTTTGTTTTCTGGTACTCTCAAGAAAACTGATTTCGTCACGGCTGTTGCATCCAGAAAAGAACAAAAAAAAAACAAAAAAAAACAAAGCTTTGGACGCGATAGCAGTTGGATACGTTCTCAGAAGTACTCGTGTGAGTATGCCCTCAGTGAGGGCTGTAAGCGGTGGTGCAGTCAGATTCATGAGAGAAGAAGAAGAAGAAAAAAAACTGAAACTGCGCTGTGGACGGGAAAGCAGTTGGATACATTCCAGAAGTAGCAGTGTGAGTATGCCTTCCGTGAGGATGTCAGAGCAGTCTGTCGAATGCGCCCTGCCTTGCTGGCAGGGCCCTACCAAAAGAAAGAAAGAAAAAATCATAACATTTCCTACTAGCCAAAATAGTGGCGGGATACATTCTCGAAAGTACTACTGTGACAATGGCCCTGGTCACGGCCTTCCCCGACATCATAGCAGTTGGGATGCAGCGTCTCCTTCTTCTTCTTTTTTTTTTTTTTTTAAGTGGGCCCACGGGGCCTGAACACTTTGTTTTTGCCAACCCTCCGCCGGACGCCCGAAAACTTCAGAAAAATGGGAAACTGCCAGTTTACGGACACTTTGTCGACGTGCGCGAGGTAGTGGTGGTTTAAGGACACTTTGTCGCTGGCTGTGACTGTGATGCCCTGTGATCTGACCTTGTTTTGTCTATGTGCTGTGGTCTGTTCTATTGGGCCTGAACTCTTTGGACAGGGTTGTCCCTTCTTGACGGATAGAACAACCAGCTGCAAGTGTTGTGCTGCATGAGCGTGATACTCCAGCAGGCACAGAGAGCAAGAAGGAGAACAAATCCATCACGTTATCTTGAAGCTGCAAAAGATAAATCGATTGCGTGCTTCGGAGTGCAGAGTGCACTGTCTTCTGCTCTGTCGAAGGGAGAATAGAAGGGATAGGTGGCTGGGGGTTAAGGTGCGGGGCGCCGAAGTGGTAGTTAGCAAAGATTGTAAACATGGGGGGATTCCGCAATTTGGAGTTGCTTCCTCTCCAAAAATCGCGGACAAGGTTGATGAAGCCCATCAACTCGTTGTGGGAGCATAGAATCACGTATGTTTGCATTGGAATGATCATTGCGTTCGGGATGGTGTCCATGAATTCAATTCTCTCTCCCAGTGTAATGATGGCACAGACAGGGGAACCTGTGCAGAGCAGTGACGTGACTACCGGTAGTCCTGTGAATGACGAGGTCTCTATGGTTTCTTTTAGGGAGGACAGTGCTGAAGTATTCAGGCCAGCTTATCAGGCGAAGTTGGGAGGAGGGGCGTTAGGGATCGGGCTATCGAGGAGGCCTTTGGTTGTTCCAAGCCCCAAGAAGCGGGTGTTGGTGACTGGAGGGGCAGGTTTTGTGGGAAGCCATCTGGTTGACAGGCTGCTTGAGAGAGGGGATGAAGTCATTGTCGTGGACAATTTCTTCACAGGAAGGAAAGAGAACATTGCACATAATCTGCAGAATCCAAGATTCGAGCTGATCAGGCATGACGTGGTGGAGCCAATCCTTCTTGAAGTTGACCAGATCTACCATCTTGCATGCCCTGCTTCGCCGGTTTTCTACAAGCATAACCCCATCAAGACAATCATATCCTTCTTTTTTTCCATCACTTTGTGCTGGCATAGACTATTTCTGCGACTCCTTTCCCCGCTCGTAATCACAGATCTTTGCTCTTTGGTGGCTTTTCACGCTTTCCACAGGGATTTACTGTATCTAGTTACCATCGACGCTGCGGTGAGAATTTACAAGACTACATGGGAGAGGGATGGCTGCACATGTTCTACATGATGCCAGCTCTGATGTCACCATTCACACGGCCACGAACCATGTGTCCTCTTTTTCCATCGTCCTTCCAAATGTCTCGTCTTGATTGTCCATAGGAAGTCGTGAAAAAATCTTTGTGGAAAAGAAGCAATGTGAATGTCTGTGCACCTGTCATTGATTGGGATTACCGGACTTGGTGGTGGAGGTAACTCATTCAGATTTCAGACATAAAAGGTACAAAATATGTTTTGTGTGTGTGTTGGGGGGGGGGAGGGAGGGGGGAGGGAGGGAAGAGATGGAAGAAAAGGTGCAGGAATTGAAGCAGGCTTGAATTTTTTTTTGTCTGCTGCACACCCACTTCCCACTTTTTTTTTTTTTAAATAAAAGAAAGCTCCTCTCTATTGGTCGGGAGCTGCACCTGCTGGAAACCGGGTCCAGTGTCCCAAAGATGATGACCACAACACACTCTGCCATCACTTCCCCACGTTTTGGTCCAGGGAACCCTACCCTGACAGCATTAATTGCTTTCAACAGGGAAGGATTAGATGTCAATCAAGCCCATGCAGTCAATTTAATCCCCGCCCCAAGCTGTCGTACCCCCCTAAAGCATGCTGGGTGTCAGCCAGTGCAATGCCTCTCAGTCCACCTCAGTCAGTGGGTTGTCTGAAGCCCATTATCACCTAGGAATGCTACCCCCCTCCCCCCCCCAAAAAAAAAAATCCTTGATTCATGCGGCTGCGCCAAACTCCTCCCCTGACTAGTGTTGCCTTCCCCTTTAAAGCATATGCCGAGAATCAGCCAGAGCCATCCCTCTTGGTGGGCTGTCAGAATTGTAGTATCCCCTGGGATTGATGTGGTGGCTCCATCGATTGCGTCCCTTTGAAAGGATTGGCTACCCAATTTTTCCCTGATGTTTACTTCACACCGCTCTTGATTGTGTTCCTGGCCGGGGAGTTTCCTTGCCACAGGTGCTTAGCCCTGGGCTTGTCTGTTGCTCCTTGTCCCTTCATGATCGGGAAGCTTGAATGCTGAGTTGGGGCTGATAGAGCAGGCTGCAACTTTCCCACTCTTGTTTCCCTGCTTGATGCGATTTTGTGAATCTCAGCCGTCCTGGAAGGACGGACAGTGTTGTCCTTGACTTGGTTTTTGTTTTGGATCCCTCACAAGACCAATGTGGTCGGCACGTTGAATATGCTGGGGCTGGCTAAGAGAGTGAAGGCTCGGTTCTTGCTGACAAGCACAAGCGAAGTTTATGGTGACCCCCTTCAGCACCCCCAAAAGGAGGAGTACTGGGGCAACGTGAACCCAATTGGTAAGTAGAGTAATGTGCTCCACCCAATTTATGAAAAATTTCTGTCTATTTGCTTCTGCTGTCTGAATTGTGGACGTTCTTTGACGTCACCGAGTCCAAATCCTGATGTGATGGTTACGGTGTGCCTTTTTTTTTTTTTTTTTTTTTTTTTGGAAACGTTTTTTTCCCTTTTTCCGGCAGCCAGCTTCCGATATCATGCACTGGCCTTCCTTGGGCACTGTGATCCCTTGCTTGACTGAATTGCTAATGGATGCGCTTTCTATTCTTTGTAACATCATTTTCACGCTTGATGGTTTGAGAAATGACTCGAGGCTTCCAATGACTGCTAAGGGACCAACCCCCACGCCTCTAGTATACTGCACGACCTAGGTAGGAAGGGTGTCCGGAATCGGTGGGTAAACTTTCCTTATCTCCCGTTGCCCTCCCTTGTTTCCTGCTGTGTGGGTGTAGTAATCCACGCAATGCACCCATGCTCCCTGCTGTGTGCCTCGTAACTTATGCCGCTTCCTGTTGTCGTCAGCGTCCTTCACCTTTGCAGTGGTGATCCAGCCTTGAGGACTTATCCTGGTCATTTGTCCTTTCCCCTCTCGTTATCACAGATCTTTCCCCTCTCGTAATCACAGATCTTTCCCCTCTCGTAATCACAGATCTTTGCTCAAAGAAGATTTCAGAGGATGCGTTCAGAACATTTTAATTAACTATAGCTACATGTGAGAGCTCCCTATATTCGATGGATCGACGGACTGAAGAAAAGACGGGCACATCTGCTTCTTCATGCCAAGTGGAGTGTGAATGCATTAGCAGGTTAGCGAGTAAGAATGAAACACAAAGGTATATGCTGTCTACATCTCCCTATTGATGTATAGTATACCTGTCTATGCAGAGTCTGTCTATATCTCCAAATTGGTGCACCCTTGTCTATGCATTTGTTGTCTATATCTCCACCGACACAGGTGTTCGTACACCTGTTGATGTGTTGCCTGGCTAGATCACACCATTTGATTTGCGTACACCGTGTGTGCTTGGCATGGACCCATGTGTGGCGCACACAAAGGTATATGCTGTCCTCATCTCCCTATTGATGTATACTATACCTGTCTATGCAGAGTCTGTCTATATCTCCTAATTGGTGCACCCTTGTCTATGCATTTGTTGTCTATATCTCCACCGATACAGGTGTTCGTACACCTGTTGATGCGTTGCCTGGCTAGATCACTCCATTTGATTTGCGTACACCGTGTGTGCTTGGCATGGATCCATGTGTGGCGCAGATGTACACACCATTGGTTAGTGAGTTGCGCCTTGGCAGTCTGATCCCTGTCAAAGCTTGTCTATTTTCCTTGTTTGGTCAGGGCGAAGGAACGTAATGGAAGGACAGGAGATTAGGAGACGATCAATGACTAGAAGTGTGTGCGCTGTACACCTTGTCCACATTCTTTGCTCCCGGAACACTACTGTGTGATGACAGGGCTCAAGAAATAACAAAACTTCAACTGGATGCGTCTACTGCCACAATCGCAGATTGCAATCCCAAGAGCTCGTTCCAAAACAGAAATCAAGCTGCCCTTGGCCTTCCATGCGAATGCAAACTGCTGATGCAGGAGGTTCTGCAAGGCAGAGTCGGGAAAGAAGGGATGTTTGACGAGTATGTTCAGGGCCAGAGTGGGTTTAAGAGTGACCGGTGGACACATAGATCAAGAAGATGGATTCAAATGAGGCACATCCTCCTGCCAATCCATGGATGATACTGCAGTTTTACATAACACTGTTACACTGTGTTAGTAGTCTGATGGTGGGATGGTGGATGTGGAATGCAAGGCGGTGGAGTGGTGCTCTCCAGGTGTCCAAGTATACGTCTCTACACTGCTGTTGCAGCAAACAGATGATCTGCGGAAAAAAAAGGTTGTAAGGTGTGGGTGCCTTCAACGATGTGTGAGATGGAAGTGTGCATTTGACTACCACTTCAGGCCTGTGCTGAGGTTACACTATCCATGACTCAGAAAGTTCTCTTCTGTGATTGCACAGAAGAGTCTCAATCATTATCTTACACCCCCAAAAGGAGAGATTATTTGAACACGAACTCGATACCTCAGCTCACCATCTCACACCCCCTTATGGGTGGGGTTACTCCACCTCCCACAGTTATTGCCACAACCTTGTGGAGTAGTTTATGTTGCATACTAAAGGATAGACCACTGACAACTTCCCACTCAGCGTCCTCCAGCAAGATGGTGGTCTATCAAGTGGCAGTAACTTCGTCGAACTTTCCCTCCACACTCATGTTTGTGCAACATGCCATCTTTCCCACGCAGCGTCCTCCTCTTGCTATTTATGCGGTTTCCAAGAAGCCGCTCAGCCCTGCCCTCTAGGTCCACCAAGAGAAAGTGGGAGCGAGAGTCTTCTCTATGTATGACCATGGCCAGCTGTCAGTACCGTGTCCCAGTGAACAGCTGCAAACAGTTTTATTGCAGCTTAAGAGAATGAGGGAACACTGTGGCAGCATTTCGACCAGGTTCGGCGGGAAGGCTTGCAGCAGCCTTCCCTGGCACGCACATTTTGCCCCTCTAGCCTCCACGTGGCCCCATAGACAAGAGAAGGTTATGATGCTTCTTTGACCACGGGGCAGAGGTCAGTCCATGTTACATACTGCATTCCACACGGGCCCTTTCAGGCCCGACGACTAGGCTGAGGGGTTCCGAGGGCCTGTACGCGATAATCCAGGCCTGGCCGGCCCAAAGGCCGGACCTTTTTAGGCCGGACCTTTTTAGGCCGCCCCTTTGGCCTTACGCAACCGGTTCTAGACCAGGCCCTGCAGCTGCAGGCCCTGGGCGGGAAATGGCCAAACGTTTTCGTTTGGACCAGGCCGCCGTTTAGGCAGCCTGCTTACCGAAAAGCGGTCCGACCTGAACCACGGATCGGACGATAGATCCGACGGTTCAGATCGGAGGCCACCTTGGGAGGCAGAGGCCGAACTGGCCGCCGGCTGGTACTTAGGCCCAGCCAACGGCCATTTCGGGGACTTCGGAGGACAGCAGCATTGAGGAACGCCCGCTGCGCTATTTCGGTTCAGCGCAGCGCTAGACAGCAGCGCTAGGTGTAGCGCTGGCTGTAGGGAGAGGAGAGAGTGAGGAGGGAGACTTACCTGACAGCAGCCACGAGCACCATAGCTCCCAGCAGCACAGCCGTCTCCTGCAGCAGCCAAGGCGCCACCTTGTACCATCAGGTAGGGCCTAGAGCTACTCGCCTTCTCCACCAATGCTCTGCCCCTCTCTTCTTCTTCTTCTTCAGATTTCTTCTTCTTCTTCTTCTTCTTCTTCTTCTTCTTCTTCTTCTTCAGACTGAAGACTATTGATACGAGTTGGACAGAGATCAGTGATTGGACTTCGGTGGTAGGAGGCTGTGATACTTACCGGATTCAAGACATTGGAGATAGTTGGGATTGATACCTGGCGGCATCACAGATCGGACATCGGTTACATTAGGATTCTGTACCTCCGACATTGGTGACGTGTGTACATGACATTCTGATTTTGTTCGGTGACATTTTGGGCTACCATATCGGTGACCTTCTGGATTCTATCTTGGTGACATCTGGCGCTGTCCATATCTCCCACCTCCATTGTCTCTCCTCCCACCATTCATCTGTGTATGATTGTATGGGGCCTGAAGCATCGTCTATGTATGGCTTCAGACCCCCACCATCTCACGATTGCTTGTGTGTCGAGTAATGTTTGGGTGAGTTCAGTCTATGCGAGTCAGTCCATTTCTCAGACTTCCGCTGTATACATGCTCATCCTACATTGGTTGATCTTTGGTTCTGCCCATACTTGGTGAGGTATTCACTAGTATGCAACAGTCCAGCATGATAGCAGCCTGCCGTGGCATTCCCATTTTACTCTAGCCTTCAGGTAACCCCATAGATGAGACCAGGTTATGATGGCTTCTTTGGCCATGGCCAGAGGTGCAGCAAGTTTAGCTCCGCAGATTTTAACATATCCCTTTTGTGCTTGTGCGACCGTTGATAGAAAAAAGAAGGTGAAAGAACAGATTGCCACCGGCCTCTGTCATTGAATTGCCAGCACACCACTGCGACCCTTCCCGTTATGCAAGGAGGTCCTACCTGAACTGTGGCAGTGTGCGAGAGGCCTGTCAGATTTTCGATGCACCGGTGTTGTGTTGCACAGAACCTCCTGGAAAACCCATGGGTGCAGCTGCAAGTAGCTTCGGAACAGGGCATGCTAGGGTACTACTAGTGTTCACACTGGAAGAGGGCTGGTGAATCCTAGCAATCTCAGCTATTGGTGGGGTTTGGGATTTCTTGCTGGTGTTTGTTTGGTAATCCAGATAATTACAGGCATTCTTTTAGCAATGCATCATACGCCTCATGTAGATTTAGCTATTATCTGCTTACCTATTTGGTGAAATCACTGCCGACCAACTTGAAGTTTCAATGAGACTGATTACTTGAACAGGCTGTGGGCTTGGAACTTTTCTTAAATGGTGGCACGGTGGCATGAAGTCGCAATCACTTACTCTTGCGCCTTCATAGTTCAAGATAGCTGTTAGCTACTTCCGTGGGAGTTTTGGTGTGAGCACAACTCATTCACAACTGTCCCCCTGACATTTTGCCTCGTGTTGCAGTCTGCTCGTAGGGCCGAAATTCTTTGGCCAAGCCTTGTCCACAGCCCCATAAAATGCGGTGTGACGTATATTCCCGTTTTTCCCAACACTGAGAAAGGTATTTCTGCGGAGTGGCTGCCGTAATACTTTCTTTTGCCGCTTTCTGGAAATGCTTCTCTCTCTAAGAAAGTACGAGTGTTGGCCAATGCTTGCTAGGAGGGTTGCTGTTCCTCTTTGTGACTCCTCTCGTCCTCCTGCTTTGTTCTGCCCTTGGTGTCCACTGACTGTTCATAATCAAATGGTAGTCCTCTATCCTGTTGGCCGTTGGAAAAACGAGTAGATTTCTGGTTTGGAGGAAGTGCCATGTTTTGTGCCATCACAGGTCCTCGTTAAAGAGCAGCCTTATCACCTGTTTCATGTGCAGTGCTTTATAAGTGGTAGCTGGGTGTGTCACACTCAAACACCCCTGTTATGGCAGGTCCGACTATTATGCATTTCCAAGCCACCTTTATTATGAAGTGCAGTACTGTTGCTGCTGCTGCTATCTTTGGGTGGTTTCGTTTCCCCTGCTCATTGACATATGTCTGGCCGGTTGCCTCTGAGTGCAGCACATCTGAACCCTTCTTCTGAGCTTGGGTTGGGGTCTTGTTCGGTACCCGCTTAGCTGTAGGAATCCCAGTTTTTTTTAACCTGGCGGAACACTTTTTTGAAGTCGAAGAAAGAAACTGCATACAGTGAATAGCTGCTCCTTTTACCCCGTATTGGTTCCGTGGCCTCCTTTAGGCTAAAAACCATAATTTCTGCCCGGTGCAAAACCTGTCCGGTCTATATGAAAAATATTATGAAATCATTTTATATGTTTTGTTCCTAATCCTATTTTTTAGCTAGAGCTTTGGCTAAGATCTTATATATGCTTCTTGTAGAAAAGTTATTGGTCTTTTATTTCTTATATCCTCTCACTCCCTTCTTTTGTGACGTAGCGCGACTACTCGTGTTCTTAATTTTGGAGGGTTATTGTACCTTCCTGTTAGGCTTCCTGGGAGAAACTGAAAAGGTCCTTCCCTAAGATCTGCCAGCATTCTTGCTAGCATTCACTCGTTAGCCTATCTCTTCCTGACACCTTGTTCGGCCTCGTAGAAATCAATGCTTGATAAAACTCTGCCTTTGTGAAGTCGCTGTCGAGGTATGCTGCTCCTTCCGTGGTTACTGCGAGGTCTAGTGGTTGAGGAATGCCTGTCTTGCCGGTTTTATGTTCTCCTGGTCTGCCTCTCCTGCTTTGGGTGTGGGTAGAGTTCAGGGGAAAAAAAACCGCTGCCACTCATTATATCCCTTCCTGATTTGTGTTTAGCCCTCCTTCCGTATCTCTTAGCTCTAAGATTCTACTATGACAGTTGTTTGTCCCGATTCTTTGGAGAAATTTCAAAAAATACTTGGCCATCGTCTTGTTGCTTTTGACCAGTCCATTTGGCCCTTATCTGTAGATCTTGTCTATTCACCGTGCTGAGTAAGTAGGTAGGGGCTAAGGACGGACCCGAACCATCGTTCGTGGATTTGCAGTCCAATACATTACCTTTTATGTTGCTTAGCCTTCAATTTGATTGACGAAAAAAGAAAGGTGCAAAGCAATGTCCAAGTGGCCCATTGAGGGAGCTTCTTCGTCGTTGCTACCAGGATGGATTCGTGCATTTCAGAGCCTGGATTCGTCACCAGATTGAACGCTGCCATCTTTACGAATGATTCCCAGGATGGTTGTCTCTCCTTTCTCTTGGTAGCGTCTATTCTCTAGAGCCTCTATTCAGGTCGCTGCTCAGAGCCTTCAGAGCCTTAAAGCACCAGTACACCACACATCAGGCCATGGGTGTCAGCACGAAACCCGCACCACTTTGGAGGCCGCCGTTTTTTTTTTTATTTCAACGACGCCCCACGCCGCGCGGCCCCTCTGAGTTTGCTTGTGGCGCCAGAAACTTTCTGCAAGGCTGGGGCCGTGTACTTGCGGTTTAAGTGAATTCTATCAGGCTGCTATTGTCTCTGAGTTGCTCTTTATGCCTTTCCTGTGCTTGCGGACCTACGTCTCTCGTTCCTGCCACATTCAATATATCGATTGTTCACTTGAGCAAAACTGCTACCCGCCGTACCTGGTATGTTGTCTAGATCGACAGTGCGAACGAGACCTATTTGTTTGTGAGCAAAACCTTTGTAGTAGGGTGTTTTGAAGATCAAGGCCCGTACCGCGGCTCCTCGTAGGAAGTGCGCCTGGCCCGAGAGTTCACTTTATGCATGTGAAACGCTTTGGGTTCCACATCTTAGAGGGATCCGTCAGATTCTTTGCGGCTAATAATGGTTCAATCAAAGGTGAGAATCGACGACTTCAACAGGACATAGGCATTTCTGTTCGTCGCACAATCGAGTGTTGCATTGCAATCGCCGGCTGCCGTCTTCACCTGAATAGTTGCATGGTCATTGTAGCGGTATTTGGTGCAATTTTCTGTCCAGATGCAGTGGGAAGGACTGGGTGTTCTATTCGGGTGAAGAAGGTTGGATGGAATGTCCGTGCGTGGGACGTTCCTCCTGTTCAATCCTATTACTAAGAGTTTTTAAGACCCTTGTTTGTGTCCCGGTATTTGGTGAATAGATGTTTATTACAGCAAAGTCCTCCTGTCTTGACGAAATATTTCGTCTGATCCATCTTTGATTCATTTGGATCCTTAACAACCTGCTCGGTTTTCGCTGGCTGGGCTGCACCGCATTTGTTATAAATTAGTCTTGCTACCCCAGCTGATGCAGAATTGGGAAAAGCAATGCGTTCTGCCCATGGCACATGTGGTAATCAGGCTTAATCTCCTTATTATTTCGTACTGGATGATTTTGGACCTCGCCCCACCACTCACCCACCACATGCACAAAAGCCAAAAATTATGGCGGTGGATCTTTCCATGCTCTAGCTGAAGATTGCTCTCATTTTGCACATTTGGTGAGTGGTGGAGCGAGGCCCTTTCTGTTCAGAGTCATCCGAGTCTGTGAGACGAGTTTCTTGGATACACAATACGTGTGGACGATTTCTACTTTTAAAACATTCCGTTGTTGTGGTGAAGCTGAGCCGTTTGTCTGGTGAGGAGAGGGTTGTTGCTGGGCCATGAAATTTTTAAGCTCGTTTGTCTATTCCCCCCCCTTTTACCCTCGTCTGAGCCTGTCTCCCTACCCCTCTGTTCCTTTTCCACTCGATGCAGTGGAATCTGTGTTGTTACGATTTCACATGCCCACTGTTTAGTAGATGTTTGCCAAGAAAGGGTTGGTGAGCTGTGACGGCTCCTGGCTGAGCGATA